AAATCTCCAACTTCACAGTTCTTAGTTTAAAGAAGAAAACACATCTGGCCAGGCTGTGCTTCTCTTTGGGATGACGGTGAATAGAACTGAAGTCAAAATGGAACTGAGCTTAAAATGGCGTTGCCTTGTTTTATATCTCTGAATTGTTGATAAGTTTTAGTAAAGCGGATTGGACACTTTAAGTCAACAAGCCAGATTCTCTTGCGGCAGCCGAAGGCTCTGATTGGTTGGAGCAATGTGTCATGCGTTGCCATGGGGATGAGTGTCAGTCTGTCTGTGCATGTCGTCCTGTTTACTCATTAAACACATAAATCATGACATCTTTATTTCACAGATCATTCACTTGATTATTATTGATCAACATATGTTTTGCTTAATTTTTAATCACAAATAAAGTACTTTGATTAAGTAAAAGCATTCTTCTTCCTTCTTCTGGAATGTAAACAGTCTGAGGATCAGACGACCTTGGCGTTTTCTACACGGGTGTAAATGTGTACAGGGGCAGTGTTTAGGAGCTGAAAATCATAACTTCATAACGTTACATATCCCCCCTTTTCAAGGTCAATGTGGTCCTTCAAGAGACCACTTGGTCGTTGAACAAACCCAAGTTATGAAGAATCTTGACAACAGAACAAGATGCGATCCCAAGGGAACAGCCATCAGTGGTGAGGTACGAACCCCACTCCGAAGAATAGTCTCGCATACTCCTCAGGAAGAACACAAGTCAGCAGGTTATTAATTATTCCCCATGGAAGCCATAAACGAAGCAACAGCAACTTTATATCCTCACGGGCAATAAAGCAAAGCAGGAGCAAATCTTGTACGTATCCACGAACAGGGTAGTATTCCAATTAAAAATCGGTTGTTGTATCCACTGGTAGGGTAATATTCCAAATAAAAATTGAACTTTGAAAGAGTACTTATCGTAATCCACAAAAAGGGAAGAGCAGTTGACAGTAATCCCAACGAAGGAGGTATCCCAGCAGCCATGTCGTAACCACAGTCGTCCAAGGCCAACGAGCCGGAGCACCCCCCAGGAGTAGTCGATGCAGATGACGAGTCACGGATCCACCCCCAGGAAGCAGGATCCACACAAGCTCAGCAGAGGAGAGAGAGCACAGTGTAGGCACTTCAATGTAGACACGACAAAATTGCATTTCATGTCATCAAAGAAATAAAAAAAATAAAAACCTAACTCTATGAGTACCTGTTGTACTATGTGTAAAGTTTATGTGATTTACCCATTAAGTGAAGAAATGGATGCAGCCCTGTCTGTGTTAGGTGCAAAAAGGATGATGCGAGAAGCAGAAAAATGAAAGAAACCCTAACTGGTATCAGTGAAACCTCAATGGAAATACACGCCGTCAGGACAGGGGCAAAATTGGTTATAGCCCATAAGCTAAATCAACGTTGACAATCATAACAATCACTGTCAAATCAACTTCAAAGATACTATAAAAAACAGAAATGTAAATCAGTACTAAAATGTAAATCAGTGGTTAGTAATCATGTTCATGTTAATGTACCCCTACGGAATTGTGATTAGTAAAGATAAAAAAAAAAAAAAAGTTTTGGACAACAGTACTATGTGGCCTAACCCACTCACTGTTACCTGGCCGTGCACCTGACTCCAGGAGCCCACAGCACGTCCGTCTCAACACACCTTAAGTCTGCACGTGACGTATAACATGGAAGACAACCATGCACTCTCACAAACAAACAAATTTGTGTAATCAGAGATAGAAATCCGTGGAACCAACGAGTCTGGTAACCGGGATCCTCCACCTTCTACGTCGCAGATGCCGGCGGAGGAGGAGGATGAGGAGAGGAACTCACCGTCCAAGGCGCAGCTGCCTGGGCCGGCGGTCTATCGCGACGCGGTTCCAAGGACCGAGCCAGGCGTCCATTAACATCATCGAGCGATGTTCCCATTAGTTTCAATTCGGCGGAGAACCGACGGTTTTGGAAAATGAACATAGCCCAAATTAAGCAGATGTTTACGCCTATAATGAATATCACCACAGAGTCAGCGGAGGACCAGGAGTAAGACACCGGTCGAAACCGAAGGTCGGGATCCGACGACAGCTCACGCAACACTTTGTTCACCACACCCACGCGAACCACGGTCGGACCTTCGAACTTCACCCGAACCACCGTCGCTGGAGAAAGAGCAAAAGAGATGTTATCATAGAAAGTGGAGGACTCCACTTCAGACCTATGCTCACCAGGATCCAAGTGATATAGAGAAACCTCACCCACGTGGACCGTAGCACCCCGGGGAACCTTTACCCACAAGGTCGCAGATGGTAGGTCCACCTTAGTAGATACAGAACCTTCAAAGCAAACTTCAGCTTCACTAGCAGGGGTATTGAGTAACCAACGGTCGCCAACGATAACAGCTTTACTGCTCATCACACGCGAACGCGGAGTCACTGTCATAGGACATTTAGATGTATCAGACAACTCATCAACGCCACACACGACAAAAGCCTCCCTATGTATAAAAGGCGTGCCTGGACACATAAAGTGCAGACCACGGTTGAGAGAACACACGCTCAAGTCCGGTACCAACCTGACGTGGGGTGCGCGGTCCTGATACGCAATGACCGGAGGCGTATGCAACTTGACATGAGAGTTGTGAACCCAGTTACCGACATTCACGACATCTTTCAACCTATAGATGTTCCGTGGAGAAATCACAGGTAAGTTGATGAGGAAGGCTAGCTCTCCCGCCTCCGGAATGACGGCTAAGGGGATAGCACTGCCCAACGAGAAGCCTAGGTGAACCTGTAGTGTAATCGGGGCCTCAGAGGTCACCCTAGCAATCGCAGCCCGGACCATGTCTTGGGACACGAGGTAAGGAGGGATCCTCCCCATGAGGAGAAGGTCGATTGAGGCGCTCACGTCCCGACCATAGTCGGCCAAGCAAGCCGTCAGCATCTGCGTATGACCATAATCAACCTCCACAAACGAACGCATCTCATTCACGGCGGCTGTTGTCTTACGCAAAATGTTACTGTGAGTGTTCAGCACCACCATAGTTTGTTTTTCAGACACGCCCAGCTGTACCAGGGCACGCCGCTGCTGCAGTACCTGTTTACGCAGTTTTGGGTATTCCCTGCCAAGCTCATCAACATGTCGACGAACCGCGTGAATCTCACCCAAGTTGACGGCGGAGAACGCAAAATTTAAGAGATTGCCAATAATATTTCCGATGGAGAAAAGTCCGTCCAGGAAATGCTTTGGTCTTTTCCTGGTACCAGCAAGTTCACTGTTAGAAACTGTGAATTTAAGGGCTTGTTTTAGGATGTGACCGACATCGGCAACCGCATGCTGTGTCATCGTACGAGTCCAGTGTTCACCCGTTTCCGACAGGTTTCCGAAGGCCGTCTTCATCTTATCAGTACATGCCATAGCGGGGTCGAATTGTACGAAGATCTTTTGCGAGTACAATCGATAGTCAGTCATCAGTAGACCTGGGCGGTCTCGGAGTGCGATCCCCGAAGAGGGCCCAGGGCTATACAGACGCGTCAGAGGAGGCCGATGATCGGTACCAACCGCAGGTGATAGCAGGCCAAAACACACGACCAACAGAACATAACTCACCAGAGCCGGGCATGGAAACCAGGGGCGCTTCAGGTTGTAGCCTCGTGTGGTCACGCGAGGGTCCGGCGCAGGTGGAGGTGCCGCAGGGCCAATGGTCGACGCGCAGGTGTAGTTGGTGATGGCCGAGTCAGGCAGCGCCGGTCCAGGACACCAGGCCCCCACGCCCTCGGTAGGCGAAACACCAGCCTCCGGGCACAAGGTCACCAGCGCCCGTCGCACGTCACTGTCACCGACGTCCACCACCTGTCGTGCACGGTCGGGTTCGTCCCTTCCAAGGCTCTGGGCGTTGATGCGAGTAGCAGCCCCACCCTCAACACCCCCTTTGGTAGGCGGATCCCCCACCGCAGGGCTTGCTGGCGCGGGCGCTTTCTCATCGCAACCACTAACCCCCCTTTGGGTGGACGAGTCCCCCAACTCCGCGTGGAAAGGTCTCGCAGTAAAGGTGGGACCTGTGGTTGAAGAAAAGCCATTCTAGCAAGAAACATTTGGATCAAAAGAACAGCACTAGGAGTTTCAATCTTTTCTGTCCAACAGATTTTAGTTCATGTAAATGAGAAATCTTCTTCATAATCTTGGGTTACTTGTGGAGTACCACAGGGTTCAATGCTTAGCCATGTAACGTGATGAAGGAGCTATTCCTCCAAGGTTATTTAACCTTTTCCACAGTTCCTTTGACACAGCGCCAGAGTGCATGAAACAGCCTCAAGGTCATTCATTACAGCCAACTTCTTTTTACCAAATATGCTTCCAATCGCCTCTGTCAGTGCGCCCCAGGTCAGCTGTGGCTACATTGTAGCTCATCCCCACGAACGTGTGAATATGTGTGTGAATGGGTGAATGACTGATTGTGTTGTAAAGCACCTTGGGGGTTCCAGGGCTCTAGAAGGCGCTATATCAAATACAGGCCATTTACCTTATATGCTTCTAATTGATAAAATCATTAGACAGCATGGGATATACTTTTACAGTTACGCTGATGATACTTAGTTATATTTATTCATAAACCTTGAATAACCTAATCGGTTAGGTAGATCACAGGCTTGTCTTGAAGACATATAAATCTGGATGACTCTAAACTTTGTGCTGTTAAAGACAAGAATGAAGTTCTCAACTTTGGACTAGAACCTCTCAAAAGGAAACTGCTCAGTTAATCTGATTGGCATGTGCTGACACACTGCTGCCAACCACTCAAAAACATATTTAAGAATGGCTGTAATGTTTGTTATTTAGTTATTGAACAGAATGGCTGAAAACGGTTCTGTATTTATCCAGAATGTACACATTCCCAGTGTACCTGTGTGGTTATTACATTAAGGCTTCCATACAAAAAGAAAATACATCGTCTAATATGTCCCTCTCCATGATCTTTGACCAGGTCTTTTTGCATGTTGCAGTTCAATGTTGACAAAGAGGCAGGACAAAGGCAGATCTACCATCGATACTGCCTGGAGCGAGCAGCAGTGCACTGTGCTCATGTCTTCACCACCGTGTCCCAGATCACCGCTGTGGAAGCCAACCACATGCTGCACAGGAAACCAGGTGGGGGAGTGATGGCAGGACAGGGACAAACAAATTCAGATTGATCTTCCTGAAGTGATGTATGATCTGTTATGAGTACAAGAGAGTAAAACAGATCAAAGCCTTCCTTTTCTCCCACTCAGCTTTAACTATACAACTCTGCTTTTGTTATACTGAAACAGATGTGGTGACACCAAATGGGCTGAATGTGAAAAAATTCTCAGCCATGCATGAGTTTCAGAACCTGCACTCCACCAGTAAGACCCGCATCCAGGAATTTGTCCGTGGACACTTCTATGGGTAGGTGAGCATGACGCAGTCCAGTTCTGGGCCCACTCACATACAGTAGCTACACCACTTTGCTTTTGATGTTGCTTTATGCAACACATTTTTTGTATTTTACAGTTTGTATGAATCCTGATCTAAAAGAAGGCTGATTAGAGTCAGATCATTAAACATTGGTCGAACCTTATTTACCCTGCAGGCATCTTGACTTCAACTTAGATAAAACCCTGTTCTTTTTCATCGCTGGACGCTACGAGTTCTCCAACAAAGGAGCTGATATCTTCCTTGAATCGCTGTCCAGACTCAACTATTTGCTGCGGGTGAAAGCCTTTGCTTCTGTCATTGTAGTTTGGTTTGTGCATCACAGTACTACCAAACTCACATGGCTTTTTGCACAGGTTCACAAAAATGATGTGACAGTGGTAGTTTTCTTCATCATGCCGGCTAAAACCAACAACTTCAACGTGGAGTCACTAAAGGGCCAAGCAGTCCGCAAACAGCTGTGGTATGACTCTGATACCAAAGTAACATCAGCTCTCACATACATGCAACAGCTCTGACCTGTATCACAGACTCACCTACACACCTGGACAACAGATGTCCTACCTACATCACTTGAATCAATTTTGATTCCATTATATCAGGGGTGTCAAACTCATTTTAGCTCAGGGGCCACATTGTGGGAAATCTAGTCCCAAGTGGGCCGGACCGGTAAATTAAAAACAACTTCAGATTGTTTTCTTTGTTTTAATACAATCAATATAAAACAAAGCTGGAGCCTGAGGACAGTGTATCCAAAATAGTACAAGTACAACACCTGAACTGTACTTCAAAATTTGAAAAACATTAAAAATCAATTAAAAAAACATTCCTTAGTGATTCAAAGAGCTTACAGATCACGTGGCTAGATCAGTTTCATGCAGCACTTAAAGTATATTTGATTCATTTTACTTTACATCTTTTAGCTTTCACCAGCACATCAATATCAGAAGTCACATCCTGAGTGGCGGCCAACTTCAGGATGTGATTCAAGTTCTTGTGTGAGCCTTGAGCGCAGCTTTGTTTTATTTATACTCATTACAGAGGAAACTTGCTCACAAAGATACGTTTATTTTCATAATAGTTTATTTTCATACTTTACATTGTAAAGTATGAAAATAAAGTTTTCACAACCATCTCGCGGGCTGGACTTAACCTGCTTGTGGGCCGGATCCGGCCCGCGGGCCGCATATTTGACACCCCTGCATTATATGTTCAATAATAATGACCTGTTTGCACAGAAACACAGCTGAAATATCTGGCCATTCCAACTATTTAAAACAACTTTTTTTGCTGATAAACTATATATATATATATATATATATATATATATATATATATATATATATATATAGATAGATAGATAGATAGATAGATAGATAGATAGATAGATAGATAGATATAGATAGATAGATATATCTATATATATACCAAAATAAACACATATAGAGCACAAATCTATCATTAACAGTAACAAAATCAGAAAACCTGCCTGGTTTTGATTAACAGACAACTTTTATGCTGTTCCGTATTTTATTTTGAAGGTAATATCTTTTACACTTGTCCATTTAGGGACACAGCACACACTGTAAAGGAGAAGTTTGGTACGAAGCTCTACGATGCTTTGCTGAAGTAAGTATTGACCCCTCTGAGTGACTTAAACATCATGGTGAACAGTGGTGATGTGACCTTGTTCTGACCTCAGAGGGCAGATGCCTGACATGAACTCCATTCTGGACCGAGATGACTTCACTATTATGAAAAGAGCCATCTTTGCCACTCAGGTACTGATGCTTTGGTCACAACCTGTCCTGTCTCCCCGCTCTGTTCAGTCCTGTGTCTTTCCTAATTGCTCCCACCTGCCTCTCGTCTCCCAATCACTTTAGATCCCAGCTCCTTGTGTATTTAAACCCTCCCAGTTCTGTATTCTTTGTCTGTTCATTGTTTCCATATCTTGTGTGCTCGTTACTAAAACCTCTTTAAATGTCCCTGCCTGCCTGCCTGCCTTCTTCCCCTGCACTTGAATCCTCCACTCAACTCACCTGCACACTGTGACACTTTGTCATCGCCTCTGTTCTGGTTCCTCTGTTTAATGTCAATAAAATATCAGATAATAATGTCCTAGTACATTTCATTTCTACAGTTTGTCCTGTCCTGATGCTTGAAACGCACATATTTGTATATTGGAACTTGCTGACAAGTCAGATCAGCTAGAATAACTGATTTTAATGTCAGTCCTGTTTAGGACTGTTACCTGGTCTGTTTCTGTTACCGGTCCCAGATGTTCCACAATCACAAAGGACTCATCTGTAGGACAAATCAGCTAAATCAGCTAATTCAGTTAACCACACATTTAATAAGCCTCCACGTTTGGTAAGCTCCGTTGATCCTTGACTAATGGAACCGACAAACCAATGTCAGCAGCAAACTGTTCCAAAATCCAGGGCTCCCTTAAAAATGAGGTTTTTAATCTCAATGGGACCTTCCTGGTTAAATAAAGAATAAACTTATTTAAATCCCCAAAACTAAACATTTTTCGGCCTATCTCTTTCTGTTTGATGAGTTTGTCTAATTCTCTTCCTTTCTAAACTCTGAACAGAGACAGAGTCTTCCTCCGGTGACCACGCACAACATGCTGGAGGATGCCACAGATCCCATCCTGTCCAGTGTCAGACGCACCGGCCTCTTTAACTCTAGGAATGACCGTGTGAAGGTAGACTGGATCATATTTCTGTTTACGTCAGTCAGAGCCTTCTACAACCTGGAACCTTCCTAATCATGACTCTGCTCTTTGTGTTCATTCCACTATGCAAACATACTAATAGATCAGTGTATTTATCACTACTGGTTCACCAGCAAACATACTAATAGATCAGTGTGTTTATCACTACTGGTTCACCAGTAAACATACTAATAGATCCGTGTGTTTATCACTACTGGTTCACCAGTAAACATACTAATAGATCAGTGTGTTTATCACTACTGGTTCACCAGTAAATATACTAATAGATGTGTGTTTATCACTACTGGTTCACCAGCAAATATACTAATAGAACATTGTGTTTATCACTACTAGTTTACCAGTAAACATACTAATAGATCATTGTGTTTATCACTACTGGTTCACCAGCAAACATACTAATAGTTCAGTGTGTTTATACTACTGGTTCACCAGTAAACACACTAATAGATCAGTGTGTTCATCACTACTGGCTGACCAGTAAACATACTAATAGGTCAGTGTGTTCATCACTACTGGCTGACCAGTAAACATACTAATAGGTCAGTGTGTTCATCACTACTGGCTGACCAGTAAACATACTAATAGATCAGTGTGTTCATCACTACTGGCTGACCAGTAAACATACTAATAGGTCAGTGTGTTCATCACTACTGGCTGACCAGTAAACATACTAATAGTTCAGTGTGTTTATACTACTGGTTCACCAGTAAACATACTAATAGATCATTGTGTTTATCACTACTGGTTCACCAGCAAACATACTAATAGATCACTGTGTTTATCACTACTGGTTTACCAGTTAACATACTAATAGATCATTGTGTTTATCACTACTGGTTCACCAGCAAACATACTAATAGATCACTGTGTTTATCACTACTGGTTTACCAGTAAACATACTAATAGATCATTGTGTTTATCACTACTGGTTCACCAGTAAACATACTAATAGATCAATGTGTTTATCACTACTGGTTTACCAGTAAACATACTAATAGATCATTTTATTTATCACTACTGGTTCACCAGTAAATATACTAATAGATCAGTGTGTTTATCACTATTGGTTTACCAGCAAACCTACTAATAGATCATTGTGTTTATCACTACTGATTCACCAGTAAACATACTAATAGATCAGTGTGTTTATCACTACTGGTGCACCAGTAAACATACTAATAGATCATTTTGTTTATCACTACTGGTTCACCAGCAAACATACTAATACATCAGTGTGTTTATCACTACTGGTTCACCAGTAAACATACTAATAGATCATTGTGTTTATCACTATTGGTTTACCAGCAAACATACTAATAGATCAGTGTGTTTATCACTACTGGTTCACCAGTAAACATACTAATAGATCAGTGTGTTTATCACTACTGGTTCACCAGTAAACATACTAATAGATCATTGTGTTTATCACTACTGGTTCACCAGTAAACATACTAATAGATCACTGTGTTTATCACTACTCGTTCACCAGCAATCATACTAATAGATCAGTGTGTTTATCACTACTGGTTCACCAGTAAACATACTAATAGATCATTTTGTTTATCACTACTGGTTCACCAGTAAATATACTAATAGATCAGTGTGTTTATCACTACTGGTTCACCAGCAAGCATGCGAATAGATCAGTGTTTATCACTACTGGTTCACCAGTAAACATACTAATAGATCATTGTGTTCATCACTACTGGTTTACCAGTAAACATACTAATAGATCAGTGTGTTTATCACTACTGGTTCACCAGTAAACATACTAATAGATCATTGTGTTTATCACTACTGGTTCACCAGTAAACATACTAATAGATCACTGTGTTTATCACTACTCGTTCACCAGCAATCATACTAATAGATCAGTGTGTTTATCACTACTGGTTCACCAGTAAACATACTAATAGATCATTTTGTTTATCACTACTGGTTCACCAGTAAATATACTAATAGATCAGTGTGTTTATCACTACTGGTTCACCAGCAAGCATGCTAATAGATCAGTGTGTTTATCAGTACTGGTTTACCAGTAAACATACTAATAGATCAGTGTGTTTATCACTACTAGTTCGCCAGCAAATATACTAATAGATCAGTGTGTTTATCGCTACTGGTTCACCAGCAAACATGCTAATAGATCAGTGTGTTTATCACTACTGATTTACCAGTAAACATACTAATAGATCATTTTGTTTATCACTATTGGTTCACCAGCAAACATGCTAATACATCAGTGTATTTATCACTACTGGTTTACCAGCAAACATACTAATAGATCAGTGTGTTTATCACTACTGGTTTACCAGTAAACATACTAATAGATCAGTGTGTTTATCACTACTGGTTCACCAGTAAACATACTAATAGATCAGTGTGTTTATCACTACTGGTTCACCAGTAAACATACTAATAGATCAATGCGTTTATCACTACTGGTTCACCAGCAAACATACTAATAGATCAGTGTATTTATCACTACTGGTTCACCAGTAAACATACTAATAGATCAGTGTGTTTATCACTACTGGTTCACCAGTAAATATGCTAATAGATCAGTGTGTTTATCACTATTGGTTTACCAGCAAACCTACTAATAGATCATTGTGTTTATCACTACTGATTCACCAGTAAACATACTAATAGATCAGTGTGTTTATCACTACTGGTTCACCAGTAAACATACTAATAGATCATTTTGTTTATCACTACTGGTTCACCAGCAAACATACTAATACATCAGTGTGTTTTTCACTACTGGTTCACCAGTAAACATACTAATAGATCATTGTGTTTATCACTATTGGTTTACCAGCAAACATACTAATAGATCAGTGTGTTTATCACTACTGGTTCACCAGTAAACATACTAATAGATCATTGTGTTCATCACTACTGGTTTACCAGTAAACATACTAATAGATCAGTGTGTTTATCACTACTGGTTCACCAGTAAACATACTAATAGATCATTGTGTTTATCACTACTGGTTCACCAGTAAACATACTAATAGATCAATGTGTTTATCACTACTCGTTCACCAGCAATCATACTAATAGATCAGTGTGTTTATCACTACTGGTTCACCAGTAAACATACTAATAGATCATTTTGTTTATCACTACTGGTTCACCAGCAAACATGCTAATAGATCAGTGTGTTTATCACTACTGGTTTACCAGTAAACATACTAATAGATCATTTTGTTTATCACTACTGGTTCACCAGCAAACATGCTAATAGATCAGTGTATTTATCACTACTGGTTCACCAGCAAACATACTAATAGATCAGTGTGTTTATCACTACTAGTTTACCAGTAAACATACTAATAGATCAGTGTGTTTATCACTATTAGTTCACCAGCAAATATACTAATAGATCAGTGTGTTTATCGCTACTGGTTCACCAGCAAACATGCTAATAGATCAGTGTGTTTATCACTACTGATTTATCAGTAAACATACTAATACATCATTTTTTTATCACTACTGGTTCACCAGCAAACATGCTAATAGATCAGTGTATTCATCACTACTGGTTTACCAGCAAACATACTAATAGATCAGTGTGTTTATCACTACTGGTTTACCAGTAAACATACTAATAGATCAGTGTGTTTATCACTACTGGTTCACCAGTAAACATACTAATAGATCAGTGTGTTTATCACTACTGGTTCACCAGTAAACATACTAATAGATCAATGCGTTTATCACTACTGGTTCACCAGCAAACATACTAATAGATCAGTGTGTTTATCACTACTTGTTCACCAGTAAACATACTAATAGATCAGTGTGTTTATCACTACTGGTTCACCAGCAAATATACTAATAGATCAGTGTGTTTATCACTACTGGTTCACCAGTAAACACACTAATAGATCACTGTGTTTATCACTACTTATTTACCAGTAGACACACTAATAGATCACTGTGTTTATCACTACTGATTTACCAGTAAACATACTAATAGATCATTGTGTTTATCACTACTGGTTCACCAGCAAACATACTAATAGATCAGTGTGTTTATCACTACTGGTTCACCAGCAAATAAACTAATAGATCAGTGTGTTTATCACTACTGGTTCACCAGCAAATAAACTAATAGATCAGTGTGTTTATCACTGCTGGTTCACCAGTAAACATACTAATAGATCAGTGTGCTTATCACTACTGATTCACCAGTAAACACACTAATAGATCAATGCGTTTATCACTACTGGTTCACCAGCAAACATACTAATAGATCAGTGTGTTTATCACTACTTGTTCACCAGTAAACATACTAATAGATCAGTGTGTTTATCACTACTGGTTCACCAGTAAACATACTGATAGATCATTGTGTTTGTCTGTACTGGTTCACCAGTAAACATACTAATAGATCATTGTGTTTATCACTACTGGTTCACCAGTAAACATAGTAATAGATCACTGTGTTTATCACTACTTGTTCACCAGTAAACATACTAATAGATCAGTGTGTTTATCACTACTGGTTTACCAGTAAACATACTAATAGATCAGTGTGTTTATCACTACTGGTTCACCAGTAAACATACTAATAGATCAGTGTGTTTATCACTACTGGTTCACCAGTAAACATACTGATAAATCATTGTGTTTGTCTGTACTGGTTCACCAGTAAACACATTGATAGATCAGTGCTTTGTTTATCACTACTGGTTCACCAGTAAATATACTAATAGATCATTGTTTTATCACTGCTGTTACATCTGGAATATTCTCTCATTTCCCCTGAGGGAGTGTTCAATAGTGGCTTTCAAATGTTAACTCAAGCATTGTCTGAAACCAAACCAGTTGTACCATCAACCTTTGACCTGCTGCTAGTGTGTGAAATGTTATGTGTAAATCTGTGACGTGTTGCTTTTGTAGTCCTGCTTTGTCGTTTACTGTTTTTGTGTGACCTGTCTAGAGAATCCAGCATATTTATGTATGCTGGTGCTTCAATATACGTTTGTTAATGAGCCGTATTTCTATCAAATGAATGAATGAGATGTGCGCCTGTGTCTAACTGTCTTATATCTTCTTTCAGATCATCTTCCACCCTGAGTTTCTGTCCTCCACAAGTCCTCTGTTACCGATGGACTATGAGGACTTTGTCCGCGGCTGTAACCTTGGAGTGTTTCCTTCCTACTATGAACCATGGGGATATACACCTGGTAGCCTTTGACCATCACATTGTCAAAGCATGCAAGCATGTGACCTTGGTCCTTAAACAAAACTAATTTGTGTGAATCTGATCCTGCAGAAACATGACGAGTTTTATTGGCTCACGTTCATCATAGTAAAAGCACTTCAGTTATTCAAAATAAAAAATTCAAATCTTGTTGTATTTGCAAATTGTTCAGATTATGTCCGTTTGTTCACAATTTAATCTCCAACCCTTCACAAAGCATTTCTTCAATTTCTGACTCAAAGAAAACTAAACTGAGATAAGTTCCAGATGGGATTTAGACACCTGCTGTGTTTCTGTCTCTCTCACAGTAAATGATCACAAACCCTTTGAACATGTTCAAAATTCCAGCAACACAATAGAAAGGGCCTGAAACACAAGGAAAGGTCCTTTCTTGACATTTGGACCCACTTTTGTGAATCATGTTTGCTTTCAGTCACCAACAGTAGCCCTGTTAAAAAATTAGTTGAAACAAAGAAATTTTGATGGATGTTGACATAAACCCTGTGACTCAAGATAATCTATACTTGTCAGTCTTTTGGTATCTAAACAAGGTAATGTTCAGATTAGAAAAGCCAGTCGGATCTACGTATGACTGAAAAAATGAGCATTTAAGGACTCGCCCATCTAGGCTCGTGACGGGGAAGGTTGGTGTTGATTTAGGAGATTCCAGGAGAGACCAGAGAATGTCTCAGCTAGTGGAAGCTAACCGTTAGCATTAGCAACTCCACAACATAGCAGAAATCCTTCAGGCTTGTGCTATTTGACGAGATAAAATAGCAACGTTGCAGAGCAAACAGTCAGTGGTAGTCTTGTTGCTGTTAGCCAATCAGAGGTGAGATGTTCAAATGAATATCAATAAGTAAGAATTCAAATTAGAGCTAAACATTTTTTGTTTTTGGACTGAAATTGTACAACCCATTCACGTGATTGTCAAAGCTGCGTTTTTTTCTTCAGCGCTATTTTACTATTTTAGACATCTGTAGTTTTCCCCTGATTTGGCAGCATTTAGTGGGGGAAACTGGAGCTGATCCCAATTCTTCAGCTGGCAGAGCTGCACATTTAGGTTATTTTCACATTTTTTCCCTTTTGTAGCGCTGCTTCAGCTGATATTAATAATGGCTGTGGCTGTCTATCTCTGCCTCTAATGTTCTGTTCATCACTCAGCACCGTGGGTGTGTGACAGACTGATTCTCCAGCAGTGAAACGGGAGTTACCATAATAACTTGACAGCACAACTTCCCTTCTTTTAAAAACAATTAGAATTTTTGTTGTGGCACAAACCTCTACGGAGGTAGGGTATTTCAAACAAGCATGTAAAACGTGTCAGAGGTCGGTGTTAGAGCGGTGTTTTTTGAGAAGAAAAACTATCAGACGGTCCAGAAAAACATCCAGGCAGCCGGTCTGGGTGAATAATGCAGGGAAAACTTTGTATGCGTGTTTTTTTGTTAATAGATACATTTGAAAGTAATTTTTACCTTCAGTTTTCCATCTTGCATCATTAGAGTAGAACAAGAACAATATTTTTGTTATCAAGTGTCTCTTTAGATAAAAACCACAAATTGCTTCACAAGCACATTAAATAAATAAAAAAGTTAATAATGGGAGGAAAAACAATTAGGTTTTAACGTTTTATGGTTTGATTATATATTACATATTATGCTATGTTGTGAATAATTTTTTTAATCATGAATTGAACTGAAATCACTAATTCTTGTAGAAAAATCGCATTTGATCCTTTCCTAAAATCGTTCAACACTACTCCAAATCCTGCTGTTTTCCACCCTCCACTAATCCGACTAATTTCAACTTCCTGAAACAGGAGAGCCAGAGCTTTTTTCCTCCAGAGATCAACTCACAAGACATTAATTTATTCTAGGGACCGCTTCAACTGAGGTGAAAAACAAGCAAATAGGAGCTTTTAACATGTAGGTGTTTTGCTCTCCTGTGTTCTTCAGGTGAGTGTACTGTTATGGGCATTCCCAGTGTGACCACCAACCTGTCAGGTTTTGGCTGTTTTATGGAGGAGCATGTGTCAGACCCTGCAGCCTACGGTGCATCATCATCACACACATCCTTTTATGCTTCATGTGTTTATGTGCCCATGTTTATTTTCCTGTTTTTCTTTCTTCTTTCAGGTATTTACATTGTTGACCGACGGTTCCGATCACCTGAAGAGTCGTGTAACCAGCTGACCCAGTTTATGTTCAGCTTTTGCCAGCAGTCTCGGCGTCAGCGCATTATCCAGCGGAACCGCACTGAGAGGCTGTCCGATCTGCTGGACTGGAGATACCTTGGAAGGGTCAGTTTTTACTGCAGCTGAACAGATGTCTGATTGTGGAAGGAGTTGCCCAGAACTTTTTATTTATGTTTGCACCCTTTTGCACAAAGTTGAAACAAAAAGTAGGAGATTTCTGAAGAAATTTCAGACCGTGTCAAACAGCTACTGCCTGAAAACTCCAATGTCAAATTTGGAAAAACTTGAGCTGAGACAGAAATTTTGATGTGTAAACTGTAGAAGACTCAAAGAGCAAGTCACCCCCAAATCAACCTCTTTTTTGCTGATAAACTATATAAATGAACGTCTAATCATGCTGTGGACACACGTAGTCTATAATTTGGTACTTGAGTGGATCTTTGTTAAAATTGTAATATTCTGCCTAAAACATTCTGTCGCACCGTCGTCAGGTAAAAACTGCACTGCATTTGAATTTAAATCTGCCACCGCTATTGGCTAAGAAGTACACTAGGATGTTAGCTGGTACATTATGATGTCACAATGCTGTTGTGAGCCTGTTGTAGTTGTTAGTGGCTCCGCCCTCTCGGTCTGCCAGGCAACAGTATTTGTTGCATTTTTCAAACATGAAGTGGGAGTGGAGTAAGTTTCTTTCTCTTTCTCTTTAATAAGAAGACCAAAATAAATGTTAAGGCTGCTGCCAGATACTCATTATGATTATCACAGTAACCATTACAATCGCCATGGTTACCACCAGGCTCTTTTGAGTTACTATGTTAACCACACGCCTGTGTCTCTCACACTCTAGTTTTTAAATTTTTTAACATCTTAGTGTTTTTGTATATTTCTGTACTGTGTTTGTTCTATTTTATTTTGCTTGTTGTAAAGTGTCAATAGGTGTCAAGTAAGGCGCCTTTAAATAAAAATTATTGTTATTATTCGTATTACTCAGAAAATAAACCTGTTGAGGGTCATACAAGAACCAAGATTTTAAAGTAAAATTCAGATTAGCAGCTCCTGAGTGAAAACTAGAAGATGTTTAGAAGAATGTGTTACACACAGGAGGATGTGGGTGCCTAGTGGAGGAAGAGCTTCCAGGTGGACACAAACTGTACAAAGAGCTGTTAAATACGTAGAAGACCTTTGATGTATCTAACTTGTCATTGACAGTTCTACATATACGCACGCCATCTGGCTCTCAGCAGGAGTTTTCCAGACAAGTTCAACATGGATCCCAAAGCTCCTCTGAAGGTGAGAGAAACTTAGCTTTCTTTCAAAAAATAGTGCACATTCATTCATTCATGAACTACAGGGTTTGTTCCATGTTGCCTTCCCTTTAGAAACCTTATGGCTGCTGTCCCTGTCCCTTAGTTAGGAATTGTTAAGTCCAACAGTCTTCTAGCTCTTCTGCATCAGAAAACCTCTAAGCTACCTTTCATCAGCAAAGTACTTGAGAAGGTTGTTGAAGGGAAATGCTCTGTCATGGTCCTGCTCGACCTCAGTGCAGCTTTTGACACTGTAGACCACAACATTCTACTAAACAGGTTAAATGCCCTGGCTGGGATTTCAGGTTCTGCTCTAGACTGGCTCTCTTCCTATCTCACTAACAGAACATTCACAGTGAAGTCCGAAACCTTCTCTTCAGATACTGCCTCTCTAACATACGGGGTCCCACAAGGTTCAGTTCTAGGGCCTCTACTATTTGCATTCTATATTCTTCCCCTAGCTGGCATCATTCAGTCTTTCCCAGACATCTCCTACCACATCTACGCTGATGATATTCAGCTCTATATGTCCTTTATGCCACACCAGTTGGACAGGCTGGCCACACTTGTACTCTGTCTGACCCAGATCAGTAACTGGCTGTCCAGCAATTTTCTTGTCTTAAATGCTAACAAGACAGAGACCCTGATCGCTGCACCCCCGGAACTTCAGCCAAAAATCGAGCAAGAAATTGCCTCTTTTTGCCCATCAGCCAAGGCCAACATTAGAAACCTAGGAGTTATTTTTGATCCAGTTTTAAATTTAGACTCACGTCAAAACCATCTCCCGCTCTTGTTTCTTTCAACTGAGAAACATTTCAAAAGTCCGTAAACTGGTTTCTACTGCAGATCTGGAAAAAATCATCCATGCCTTTGTGTCATCACGCTTAGACTACTGTAACGCTCTTTTTACTGGTCTCAGCAAAACCTCCCTCTCACGCCTTCAAGCCATCCAAAATGCAGTAGCCAGACTCCTAACCAAATCCAGCAGACGAGCTCACATCACTCCAGTTCTACAGTCCCTCCACTGGCTCCCGGTAGAATATAGAATACAGTTTAAAGTTTTAGTCCTGACCTATAGAGCTCTTAACAACCAGGCTCCAAGCTACCTATCTGAGCTTTTATCCCCACACATCACCTCTCGGAACCTTAGATCCACATCTGAAAACCTCCTGGCTGTTCCTCGAACCAGACTGAAAACCAAAGGGGACAGGGCCTTTCAGACTATTGCACCCAGACTTTGGAACAGTCTACCTTCAAATCTCCGTCTTTCTAACACTGTAGAGGTCTTTAAAAATCATCTAAAAACTCACCTTTTCATCCATGCGTTCCCTCCCTAAATGTTTCAAAAAGATGGCTTTGTTCGTGTTCACACCTTCACTTTGTTTATACTCATGATTTTATTTTCTACTTTATCACTGCTATTGTTTTTCTGATGTTTTTATTGGTTAGAGGTTTTTGCCCTGATCTTTATCATGTTGTACAGCGCTTTGTGATTTATATCTGTGAAAGGCGCTATATAAATAAACTTTTACTTACTTACTTACTTGCCTTTCCAGAGGACTGCTCTCAGCGCAGACCGCTGGATTTACAGTACATAGAACATTTAATCTAGAATCTCGCTGGGCTGAAACTATTGGCAACAAAATCTTTCTCTGCTCCTTATCGACAGTGAGATTCACAGAGCAAGCCGCACTAATTATAAACTAAAGCAAACACACTCGTGAACCACAGCATATTGGAACAATTAGCACTTGGTGGCATCTGACTGATGCAGAAACTGAAGATGGACAGAGCAGACACTGAAGTTACAGAAAAAGAAACTGTTTCTCAGAGATCTGCAGGTCTCAATGAATGAAGAACAAAATCACCTCATGATCAAAAATGGGAAATCAGTCAATCTTGGGTGTAAATCAGACACTCCGAGTCTTCGTCAGAGTTCCCTATGTGAGGAATCGTGTCTTAGTTTTACTTTATTTACCAACAAACATCAAAACTGGTTCTTGATTTTAACATGGATCAACAGGACTTCATGCAAGTATTGTACAAACCAATTCAGTGTGATCATTTGCAACTGTTCTCACAATTTTGTGCCCAACCAGCTGCTAGCTGTATGCAAGACATTAACCCTAACCAAAATGTAAGCATTAGATGAGTGAACAGATAAAAGGCTAACTCCTTTGTTTTTCCTTTGATGCTCTGACAATTGTTTTCATGTTTTATTGAATAAAAATTTCAATCAGAAACTAAATATTTATTCATTCAAAATGTATTCAGATGAATTAGTTGTGATATAAAGTATGAAAGAGCAAGAGAACAGAGGCTGTTGAAAATAAGGAAAGGCATCACACGCTGAGAGAGTAGAGTCAGGAAAGATTTGGAGTTCAAAAGCAGGATAAATGTAGGAGTGAACAAAAATAAACAGGAAACAAGTGGAATTTATGAGAAATAAGAGTATTAAAAAATGAAAAAGTGGAGTGTTGAGGTGTTATGAGTAAATCATTAATAACAGAAGCTCATGTGTGTTGACAGACGGAGGGTTTCCGTTACCCTCGACCCTCCTCCGTGCCCCCCTCTCCCTCTGCTTCCCTCCACTCCACTCCCCACCACAGTGATGCAGAGGATGATGATGACGATGAACCATATAATGAAGATGAGGAGGCTGAGAGGGACCGGCTGAACATCAAGACTCCGTTTGTTCTGGGAGACGTTCCGGAGGGCAAGAAGAAGCAGCCTGGAGAGTCAGGAAACTGAACCTGAGCAGGAGCAGCTGTTCTCAGTCCGCTGGCCTGGGGGACACCTCCGTCCCTCCCATGAAATAAATCTACAAGTGTCTCCGCGTCCTCTGAAAATCAGGGTTCTATCAACATTTGAAGAGCTGAAACTGGTTTAACAGAATCGGTAAACATGAACCCATAGACGAGGAGAAAGGTCACGCCTGATTCACGACTCTAATTAGTGATTAAATATTGGATTTGATGCCACAAGCATTGATGTTGTTTGAGTTGTGATTATTCTGCTGGTTTGAAAATTATATTGGAGGTTTTTATTGTGATGAATTTAATTACAAAAGCGAAGCCATTAAAATGGGGTTGAGGTAAAAAAATAGTCTTAATATTCTTGATTTTATTGTTTATTTATTCACTAAAGGTCTTATAAAGCAAATTCAACTGTGTTCCAGTGGTTTAACCCAAGTCCAAGTTTATGTAACTGGTACAATACAACATGTGAACTGCCAGAAATACTTGTAGGGGATAGATGCCAAAAGGCCTCGGAGGCGCTAAAGAGAGACCTGGAACAACAAAGCTGGGATGAGGTGTATGTAAGGCTGGGATGAGGCAAGAAATATTCTGAATACAAGGGACAATGCAGGTTATAACATAATTGAAAATATTAACAGTATAATGTTAGAAGCAATTCATAAAAAAGAAATATTACAGATTGTAAAAAATATGTTCTAGTAAAAGATCAGTCGATTGTGATGACTTGGACATGTCACTAGTGAAGGAAACCATATATTGTGTTTTAGAACCCTTTTCTTACACATGTAATTTATCATTTTCAACAGGAGCCTTCCCTGATGAGATGAAAATGGACAAAGTAATCCCACCTTGTAAAAATGGAAACAAGCATATCTTTACAAATTATAGACTGGTTTCACTGCTGTCACAATTCTCAGAACTACTGGAAAAAAATGTTTGTTGCCAGGCTGGATTCCTGGAAAATCTGAATATTTTGAGCAGTAGTCAGTCTGGATTTAGGGCAAATCAATCAACATCAGTGGCATTAATGGAATTAATTAAATTAATCTCCACCGAAAAAGACAGGAAAAACTATGCAGTTAGTATTTTTATAGATCTCAAGAAAGCTTTTGACACCATAGATCATAACAGTATTTGTGAAAAACTTAGTAAGTACGTTATCAGAGGAGCAGCACTTCATTGGGTCACAAGTTACTTGAAGAATAGGCAACAGTATGCTCAGTTAAATAATGTAAAATCAGACACTTGCAACATCTCATGTGGAGTGCCTCAGGGGTCTGTTTTTGGTCCCAAACTTTTAATCTCTACATTAATGATATCACAAAGGTATCCCAATTGTTTAATTGTATTTTATTTGCAGATGACACTACATTTTTTATGCAAGTGACAATATAGAACATATAAAAGAAGTAATTCAAATAGAATTATGAAAACTGAAACAGTGGAGTAAAAAGAGGAGTAGAGTGATATGTTACTGTCTAGAAGATGTTACAATTGAAAGGGAGAGGGAAATTCAGTTTTTAGGGGTCATTATTGATGAACATTTAACATGGAAGCCACATATAAATGGCATAAAAACAAAAATAGCTAAAACAATTGTAATACTGCATAAAGAAAAACGACTCTCTTAATAAAAAGGCATTATACTTATTGTATAAGTCACTGCTTGTTCCATATATGACTTACTGTATTGAAATTTGGGGTACATACAAAACATCCCCGAACCCTGTTTTCATTTTACAAAAAGAGCCATAAGAATTAAGTAGTTACAGAACTCCAACCGCTCCATCATTCGCTAAGTTGAAAGTGCTAAAATTTGGGGATCTAGTTGATTACAATATTCTGAATTAGAGGTGGTTTATAAAGCTCATAAGAAAATGCTACCAAGAAATATCCAAATGACATTTGAAAAGAGACAGAGTTGTTATAACTTAAAAGGCTGTGCGATATTTATAAAACCAAGGTTTAGGACCAAAGTGTTGGAGAGATGTGTTTCTGTGTATGGAGTCGGTTTATGGAACAAACTGGAATTCAAAATAAAAGAAGTAAAATCAATTATAATGTTTAGAAAGTCTTTTAAAAATAGTATGATAAGAAAGTATATAGTTTAATCTGGGATTTTTGTTTGTTTTTTATTTTTATTTCTCCTGATTTCTTGAAATGCAATTTGATGATGTTATAAGGTGCTACAATGAAACAGCAAAATGAGGAATTTACCTGTTAAACTTTTGGCATGTTGCTAGGCAGCTGCCTATATTTTATGAGTTAACAGTTTATTTTATTGTTATGATTGATTTACTTGTGTGAGTGGGGCAGACTATGTAAAAGATTTTCTGCTCCTTTTCATTTAAGCAGTGCAAGTTGTATTATTTTGTGTAAAATAATTTTCTTTTAAAATGAATGAAATAAATAAATTGAATTGAATGTAAGAGGGACTCCTGAGAGACACGTTTCACAGATAAATTAAGATCTTCTCTAATGATTGATTCTCGAACAGAGCAGAGGTCTGTCCAGACTGGAGTTAAAGTCTGTCCACCAGAAGACAGGAGCACCCCCAGAAGATTCTCTAAAGTCTGGTCTGATGAACGCCACACCAAAGGGATGAAAGTGTCTCTGAAGCTCACATTGTTAATCAGATTCTTTTGTGGTGAAATGCTTCTGTGATCAACTCCAACGACCTCGGGTTTAAAGTGCTGCCAGTTCAGATTTTTATTGAAACATCTTGTTTCAAACACAAATTTCCTTTTTACAGAGAAGAAGTTTGTCTCGCCGACACCAACACAAACACCCAAACAACGTTAGATGTTTTCAGAAGTATTCCCTCTTCCATACTGGCAGCTCCCGGAAGTACAGTTCATCTGGATTTTCATCAGCTGGAAGACAAAGAAAATCAGTGTGAAACCATCAGAGTTACTCAGGAGATGAAGTAGGACGCTGGTGTCCAAGGTCCAGTTAGGAAAACCGACTGGGATGTTCCAGCCTTTGTAAGGTCTGTTTCTGTAAAAAAAAAATAAAAAATTTAACTTTTCTAGCTTTAACTTCCCAAACGGCCTCTGGTCAGAGAAATAGAGTTCCCATTCTTCAAAAGGGTTGTTGTAATGATGGGTTTGACGGTTCATAACCAAAATAATTAATAAATAATTAAGTACTGTCTTACTGGGATGAAGAGGAGAAACCAGCTGATGATTGGGTCAGATTGGGTTTTTAGTCCAGCCTGTAGGTGGCGCTAGTTTCATTTGAACCAATAAAGAGGTGGGACACACCTTTTTATGACTTTTTTATCAGGAGAAAAAACTTTCCGCTAACCAAGAGGATAAGAAACACATTTTCTCCTTTAAAGGTGCTTTATGTAGAAATGAAGTAAAAATGGCATCCTGTGGTAAAATATGGTTACTGCAACCACTTTAAACAACTCTGGAGCTTTTTGCCAGTTTCAGAACAACATCAGACTCTTTTGGGATTTTTTCACTGTAAAAATCTCACTATATTCTTACTCACTGCTCCTTTAAAACATCAAATTCAATTCAAAAATTCTATTAATTTAATTTATTTTTATTTCATTGCTTTACCATCATCAGTTTACAACAACAGTCATAAAGAATCATAATCGACCCAAATCCAGTTTACATCATCATTAATCCACATTTCTGAGACCTGTAGAACTTATTGGATATTTTCTGCCAAAGTTCAGAACTAAAAGAAAGATTTGTTAAAAAGTGAACTCCCCTGTGAAACTGATGTGATGTAAAGGTTTACAAACATCAGATAAACCGGATGACAGCAACAGCCCAGATCTGGGCGGACCAGCTGTGAGCTGGGACGGCCATTAGTTTGGACCTTTAGAGACCTCAGGAAGAATAGCTCCACACTATGGTGTGAGCTAATGAGGTTCTCAATAAATAAATAAAATAAATAAATCCAGTCAGAGCTCAACATGTCCCATAAATATCTAGATTACATTCATTTATTTTTCCTTTTCCAATTAGAATATTTTTTATTTTTTATTTTGTTTTATGGAAAACGTCCACTGTTTTTATTGTAACTTGTTTCCACACAGGTTTCTTGAGTTCCAATAAATGAGTTGCAGATTAAATAGAAAACAGATTTCTATCAGTCCTTTTAGAGACTGTTTATTCCCAGCAGTCTGTTCTCTGTTAGACTCTATTAGTCTGAGATAATAGATTAATTATTTACAACACTCCCTTTAAAGTCCCTTTACAAGAACCAGATCCTGGTTCTGGGTCGTGTTCAGAACCACACAGAACCTCACCTCCCTCTCGGGCCTGTTGCAGGAAGTTGAGCAGCACGGCGGCAGCCTGGTCTACGCTCAGCTTCTCTGTGTTCTGACTGCGGGTCTCTGGCAAAAACAGATGGCACACACAGAACCGGTCAGTCCAGAACCCTACTGAAACAGGAAGCTTGATCGGGACCGTACCTAAGTGCAGCGTGTCATAAACGTTGCCTTCTTTCCGGTCTTCAGAGATGAACCTGCGGCCCTCTGGGAGAAACAAGCCAGGGTCATCTCCTTCACAATTAAAGCCTTTTATATTCAACATAGGTAAATAAAAAGTTCCAGCATTGTTTTTCACTAAATGTAATTTTATGATTTGATAATATTTTGAATGCTGTTGCTTCAGAAACATACGTGTGCCCTTCAGGTAGAGCATGGCCTGTGGGGTCCAGTTTCTGCGCTGGAACGAGCCCTGTGCAGGAAAACAGAAGAGCAGCTATAATTTTTCCTGATTCACGATCCAGTTCTTTACTTTTGTGAGAGAGATCCATGTATGGTTTTGGGATGGGAAGGACCTTGGGCGTGCTCCATGACTGAGAGATCAACGCGGCCAGCAGCAGGAGAGTGAGCAGGCGGATTAACGGGACGCTCCTCAGACCCTGAATCAGAAAACCAGCAAATAGAAAACCCAGGAGCAGCATAAACATGGCAAAACATTCCAAAGTCACCTGGGAATGATTAACATCAATCAGTCTGTGAACGAGAACCTGAGTAGTAACTACTTCTGTTCTAATGAGTGGAATAATTCACATTAAATCTTATTTTACCCTCTGGAGGCAGGCGCTGCAGATCTGCAACGTTAAAACCTACCTACCTGGTTACTCCACATACGTATTTCATGAGCATTTTAAACTCAGAAGTACCCCTGAAGGACTCAGTTGTTCGTCCTTTTTTCAAAACTTATTTTGAGCCTGAGAGGGTCAAGGCAATTCTGGAAAAAAAAAAAACGTTTTCCAGCTTTTAAAGTATAATAATTTACAAACCAACCCCCATAAAAACTCCATAACTAGCCAAACATTTCTGTGTAGTGATAAAAGATGTGTACTTACATTCATGGTGCCAGAGGTCCAGATGACTCAGATGGTAGAACAGTATGAGGATGAGGCTAGTTACCGTTGCTGAATTGTTCTCGTGTATTTATACGCTCCGGGGCGGAGAACCCTCGGAGATCAGCGCTCCTTCATGATGCCAGCGTGGATAGGTCACGCCAGTTTGATGAAATGATTGGAAAAGGAATGAATGGAAGTGCCAATCAGTGTTCAGTGTAAATGTTTCTGATTAAAGCCGCATGTCCTGATCTCATCGGGGTTGTTTTTCAGAACCCATCCTGCTGGAGCTGCAGGCCATTAGGATGAAATGTGGTCCAGGTCTGAGGGATGGTTGTGATCAGAAGAGCTGCAGCTTCTCTTCCACGAGAACTGATACTTAAGTCCTGCTCACTGGAGGAGGAAACCAGGAAAGCTGGACCGTGCCAGAAACTTTATGACTCAGTACCAATGGTGGTTCTAGCTAGAACTTTGAGGACCACCGTGGTTGAACTCAGGAGTCTAGATTCTGATCCTCTATGTTTCACTTTTTCCTGAAAATGAAACTAAGGTCTGGCTTCTGGAGCAACAGAGCCTGAACTGGTCCAGCATGGAGCTGACCCCAGACAGCTCTAAATGGTTCTGATCTAACCTGGATTCCAGAAACATCCACCAGATCCATCATCTTATTTATTTAACAGAAACAAACACAGATGGAATAAGGCTCCACTCGCTCTGAAGGCTGAGGTGACTCAGGTCTGATTCATTGTGACAGTCAGAAGAATCAGGTCTCTTTCATATGTGGTCTGTGTCTGAACGGTCTGGTCTCATCCCACCAGACTTTAGCACCACTGAAGCCTGGCGGATGAAACAGTCCTGCTGTGAATGAGACAGGAAGCAGTGAGATCCCATGCTGACGCGTGTAGCATCATGCAGATCACTTCAGAACCACCAAACACAGAAACATCAGAACTGAGCATCAAGCAGAAACTTTCAGTCCTTCTGATGGTCCAACAGATACTTCAGCAGAAGAAACGCTCAGTAACACTGCTCTGTCTGATTTAGGCCCCTACAGTATGAGATGATGAGATTTATTAACCTTTGACCTGCTGACTTAGGCTTGCAGAGTCTGACCTAAAGCTATTGGGTTCATTGTTATTTCTGACCTCAGGGTGACCCTTTAGGGAAGATCACCAGCCATGTAAATGTTTTGAACTTGTGTGAAATCTTTATCTCAGAGCAATGTGCTCTAGACAGGTTAACCCTTTTAACTTTTAACCCCTCCCAGACTGATGGACAGTAACAGCTGCTCCTCTAGATTATTGACCTTCAGTCTTGGTACCACCTGACCTTTGAACCCCTGGTTCTGCATCTCTTGAGACCTGCCTTCTCTGGATCTCCACATTGCTCATCAGACCAAGGTGGGAGAAGATGGCATTGTCTTCTTGCTGTCCTCTTATGTGGACAGGAAGACAACTCAGTTAAGATCCTCAGATGTAAGGGCTCTTCTTTACCAGCTTTGCTCTATTCCTCTTTACCCGTAAAACCCTCTCTGTATACTGATAATCCGGTGGTTCTTAACACACTCAAAATATGGTTTCAGTTTAGACGGCACTTTAATTTTCTAATGCCATCTTCCTCGGGTCCTCTAAGCGACAATCACTTGTTTCCCCTTTCTCTTTTGGACTCGACATTCTCAGTGTGGCGTGACAAAGGTATAGAACAGTTTAAACATTTATATGTGGATGGTGTATTCGATAGTTTTTCCAATTTGTCTTCTCGTTATAATCTCTCTACAACCCATTTGTTTCGCTGTTTTCAAATTCGAAATTTTGTTGCCAAGTGTTTTCCAAATTTCCCCTCTTTACCTCCGGAACAGCGGTGGGAAACTACGTTATCTTTTATTCCTCATCACAGAGGAACCATTTCGAAACTTTATGATGCTATTCTGTCTTTTAGTAACCACTCTAAGGTTAGGCTTGGATGTATATGGGAAGGAGAACTAGGAATTTGATTACATGAGGAGTCTTGGGAACAGGCTATAGCAAGGGTACGATCTTTCACCTCCTGCGCTCGTCTTGGTCTTATTCAATTTAAGGTTATTCATAGGGTGCATTTCTCTAAGTCTAGACTTTCTGAACTGTACCCAGAGGTGGAAAATAAATGTGATAAATGCCAGGGTTCTCCTTGTCACCTTAGCCACATGTTTCTTTTGTGCCCTGAGCTACAAGGTTTTTGGACAGGGTATTTCGCTATTATGTCTACTGTTCTTGGGGTAACTCTTCATCCTTGTCCTCTGATTGTGGTATTCGGGATTCCTGACTGCTCACTTATATTGGACTCCACACAAAAGGATATTATTGCCTTCACATCCCTATTAGCGAGACGTCTAATATTGTTGCATTGGAAGTCTGCTAAGTGTCCTACTGTTTCCCAGTGGCTTAAAGATGTCATGTTTTTTTTAAACTTGAAAAAATTAAATATACGCGCTGAGAGGTTGCACGGCCAATTTTTTTCACAAGTGGCAACCCTTTGTCTCTTATTTTACTAGTCTAGAGGTATTACCTGTTTAAATGTACTTCTGTTATTGTTATATTCCGGTAATAATGTTTGTTGGGTGTGTTTATCTGGGTGGGGGGTTTCTCTCTCTCTCTTTTTTTTTGTATGTTTTTGTGTTTAGTTGTCTTGTTGTTGTTTTTTACCTAGAAAAATGAAGAAAGGTTAATTGTATTTTGGTAACTGCAGGTACTGTTGTTGTTCTTCTTTCAATAAAAATATTTAAAAAAAAAAAAGATCCTCAGCTGTGTTCACTCAGAGACTAAAGTTCACGTGATTACTAGAGATCCTCATCTGTGCCCCAGACAAGCTGGTTCCCAAAATCAGAGACTCTCTTGGTCAGCTTTGCTTCCCACACCAAACCCTCCATCAGGAATCTTGGTGTGACCTTTGACCCAGCTCTCACCCTGGATTCTCATGTCAGTTCTCTTGTTCGCTCTTCCTTCTTCCATCTCAGGAACATTGCTAAGCTGAGTCCCATTCTGTCCCGCTCTGAACTTGAGACAGTTCTCCACACCTTCATCTCCTCACGCTTAGACTACTGTAACTCTCTTTTCACGTGTCTGAGCAGAACCTCCCTGAACCGTCTACAGGTGGTTCAGAATGCCTGTGCTCGGCTTCTGACCAACTCCTCCAAACACACCCACATCACCCCGCTTCTCCTCCAGCTTCATTGGCTGCCAGTCAACCTCAGGGTTCATTTCAAGATCCTGGTTCTGGTCTATAGGGCCTTACATGGACAAGCACCATCTTACATTGGTGATCTTCTTAGTCCCTACACCCCCAGCAGGTCCCTGAGGTCCAGTGATCAAAGCCTACTGGTTGTGCAGCGCACCAGGCTAAAGACCAAAGGTGACAGATCATTTGCTGCTGTGGCCTCCAGACTCTGGAACTTTCTCCCCCTGAGCCTGAGATCAGTGAACTCAGTGGTCTCCTTTAAAAAGCAGCTGAAGACTAACTTGTTCAAGCTGGTTTTGGTGTGACCTTCATCACCCTCTCCTTGTTCTGCTCTCCCCACCTATTCCACCTTCCTCGGGATCCACTGATTTCCCTCTTTCCAATTCACTCTCTCTCTTTAACATTTTTAATCACAATTGTCAATTTTTTGCTCATTTTAAACATATATTTTTTAATAATTTTCCAAATTCTTTTTTATATTTTGTTTTTGTGAAGCGCCTCATGATTTTTATCTTGAGAGGCGCTATGGAAATGAAATTTTCTTCTTCTACTACTAGTTCACTAATCTGATCTTAAACCTTTTCATGTGTTCTTTTTATCACATCATCTTAACGTTTAGTAAATAATGACACAGTGAGTTAGCTGTCTTTAGTTTTAGATCAGATGAGAAGTATTTAATTTCTTATATATCTGAATTTAATGATGTATGTGGTTTTCTCCTAGCCTGCCACCCCGTGGTGGGTTAGAAAAACAACTATGTTCTATTCTCACAGATGTCCAGCTGAATGAGTAAAATAAAGAAATCACCTGAGAACGAGGATGCTTTAATAACAGACACAAACCTCAGCTTCTGGTTCTAACCAAGCAAAAGGTTAGAAATAAAATGCATTTAAATCAGAGAGGAACTGAAACCATCATCAAGTCTAAAGCTGCGCCTGACAGGAAACAAAAACTCAGAACGCATCAACTGAATCTTAAAGCCAGTCCAGTTCCTAAGATACAAAACCAGCAAGGATGATGTTGGACCAGCTGGAACCAGAAGGTTCTGTACAAAAAAAACAAAAAAAACAAACAAAAAAAAAAAAAACAAAAAAAAAAGGCAATCTATGGAAGAGAAAACCAGGTTCTAGTGGACCGAGGAGAACCAGTCTAGTCTGATCTGCACTTAGTTTGGTTCTGGCCCTCAAACCATCAGCTGAAAGCAGGTTTGATGATGATGAAGTCAGGATGAAGATTCATCAGTCTACAGAAGAGTTCAGTACCAGAAAACAGTCTAGACAGTCCAATAGAACAGTTCTGGTGGAACCTGAACTCCCAGGCTCCATCCTGCAGAGCAGCTGGATGAGGAAGAGGAACCAGACTGATGAAGAGGACGTTCAGGTCTCAGAGAGTCAGATAAAAGAACAATCAGGAACACATTCTGGTTCTCGTCTGGAAATTCAGTTAAAGTACTTTCACTTCTTAAATTCCCAATAATTTCATATTTAATCTATTTCACAAAGTAAAACGCATATCCTAAGGGTTCTCTGTGCTGTTATCACCATATTTAAACCACAGTCCTCAATATGTTAGTGATCCTTCATTTGATCCCTTATAAATTCTGACAGCTGGAGTCTGCTTGACTAGAAACACAAATAACTGAATGTTTAGACAAAGTGCAAACCTTTTTACAAAAAGAAAAACTTATGAGACAGGCGAGTAGTAGGTGTAACTTAAAAAAGCATTAAAACCAGTATCAGACTGGGCTGACTGGTGAAGACAAACCACATTCAGAAAAGAGGTTTCGACATGTTCACGGGCATTCAGTTTTATTCCGGGTCGACTGACATTTAAACAATGAGACGAATTTGCTCAACATAATCAGTCATGAGCACCTAGAACAGGTCTGGAGTCTGTCTCAGTCTGGTTTCCATCAGTGACGACAAAAGCTGGACTAATGTCAGCGTTTGCTAATTCAGGGCGATTCCATCTGAAAGCAGATTTTCTCCACATGGCCACATCCCAGTGTAATACAAACTCAGAAGGCATAAAATTGAGAGAAATCACAAGTTTTTCCAGTGTCAACCCATTGAACTGGTTTCTGCAATGCATTTGCAACAAGTTTTATGTCTGGTTGGGCCATACTTCTCTACCATCAGACTCAGAGCGGTGACAAAAAAATTTGTTTTGGAGCATGTTAAAAACTCACCAGAGGAAACGGATAAGTTTTGTGATCTCCTCGTGGACACTTAACGTGTTGTCCACACCCGCTGTAGCCCAGAGACCCTGACAGCAACTAACTAACTGGCTGGGTCCCTGCTGGCTAACTGTTCCAGGAGGCTTTAATTTCAGTTTGTCGGCTAACTTCATGTAAGCTTTACACATCTTTCTACACCTGATTCACTTCCCCATAACACACCTTTACTAGTTTGGTGACAAACACAACAAATAGTGACATGAAATAACTTGAAGCATTAATCATTTAAAAATAATTTATACTGAAGCTATCTTAGCCAATCAACAGGGCAGATATCTGGTAGAATAAAGACAAACAACAAAAGTGTCATAAAATAATTGCAATAAGACAAAATGCAGATAAAGTTAAAGCACTGGCATAAAAAGTTCATGGCAACTTCAGGATGGAGGTCTGTGTGTGGGAGGAGGGCACTTCTGTCTGTTCCACACACGTAAGGTCATCGATGTCAGCACGGCCGAAGCCTGGAGTCTCTGTCATGCAGAAACGCTGAAGGATAGGATCAAAGCATCTGAATATTTACCGTAGTGACCTCAGTGAGTCCAACCTTTAGGGAATGGGGGGGGGGAAAGACACTGAGAAAGCTCCAGGTGGTGGTGCGATGAGGCTAGAGACAGAAACTGTCTGCCTGCTGGAGAGAGAGACCTGTGTCTTAACTCAGAGCCGCGGAGGCCAGGTGAACTCAATCAGTCTCTCCTGGACAAAAGTCTCTGTTATACCATCGAGTTGCTCTCACCCACTTTGTCCACATACTGCAAAAGAAAACACAAGCAAATCAACCGTTATATTCACGATTATCTGGTTTAGAGCATGGCAGGGTGAACAAAGATGCAAGTGTGATTAACGTGCTAGCTGGACGTTAGCTGCAGCATGTTTAAAGTAACACATGCACAACAGGAGGGGACACACCACAGGACAGGATCAGAACCGCCACATTCAGGCAGCGGGCTCAGGCTCTGTGGCAATTGGTCAACAGGACTGAGCAAAGATCTTTTTTACTTTTTAATTCCAAACACAGACATCTGTGATCCAGTGTTTTAATAGCAGGCATGGCGCTTTAGGTGTTAGGAGGCTGCCCTGATGTGAGGACCTATGGGTCCAAAATGTTGGACAGAAGTCAGAACGAGCTCAGCTTGGGCCAGAGACTGTGGTGGTTCTAGCAAGAATGACTTGGACTATTACAGAACACACTTATTAAGCTGAAATGTTTTATTTTAAGTCATAAC